GTTCCTCTTCTGCAGCTGGTTGAAGAGCATGTCCACATGTGGCATGATCTTGTGAAACAATGCCAGCAGAAAGCAGAAATCTTCTTCCTCCAGCATTCTCACAAAGCCTCCTGCCTCTCTCTCAGTGATTGGATCAAAGTCATCCGAGTCTCTGATTATCTGGAAACATCTGAGGAGGTCATCCTTGTGCTCATACACTGTGTTGACAGCACGACTGTGGAAGTTCCACCTGGTTGCTGAAGTTGCTGGAAGTCTGTGTGCCACCACTTGATCAAGCACAGCGGTTCGCTTGAATGACCGGGAGAAGAATGCAGCAAATCCACCAAGGTCTGAAAAGAAAGTTCTGATCCTGCGGATGTGTGAAGTTGCCTGTTGCATGATGAGGTTCAGCTGATGGGCATAGCAGTGGATGTAGTGTGCACTTGTGTACACATCATTCACCTTACACTGCACTCCACCTGTGGCTCCCCTCATCACTGCAGCCCCATCATAGGCCTGGGCAATTAGTTTTCCCTCTTTTCCAGCAGGGATGATCTTGCTCAGCCTCTCCAACAGTGCTGTGGAAATCCTGTCTGCGGTTGCATTCTGAAGAGGGATGAACTCCAGAAAACGCTCTTGAATGCTGTTCTGACTGTCGAGATACCGTAACACAAACACCAACTGGCAGCGGGTGGAAATGTCTGTAGTCTCATCTGCCTGAATAGCAAGATAATCTGCATTGTTCACCTCTCCAAGAATGTGGGTTTTAATAACTGACAACATACAGTCCAACAGCTCGTTCTGCACGGTCTTTGAGGTGCCTTTAAAAACTGTCGCCATCTTCAGATGATCCTCCAACACATTATCAAGTGAAGCAACCAGATCCACTAGGCCCCTGAAGACGCCCGGGTTTTCTGAGGTTTCAGTCTCATCATGGCCACGCAAAGCCAGCTCAAATGCTCCACAAAATTTAACACAGTCAATTATCTTGGACAAAATGTGCCGGTTCCGATCCACTTCTTCATTGTGCTTCCTCACTGCAAGCCTGTGCCCCTCGTCGAGCTGCATGGCAATGTTAGCTCTGCCTAGCATGGCTAGCTTCACTGTGTTGTCCATGTGCGCCCGGGATGACTAATGTTTCTTCACCTTCTCAGAAAAATGTTTCATGTCTGGAACTCCTGACTCATCCATGCCTTATCTGCCCCAGCCGTTTTGAATAACAAACACGGAAAGCAAAATAACGCATTAGCGTGATTGCATCCAGCTAGCCACTGCTTCCTGGTGTACCAATTTTGGGAGAAGCGTCGTGTGTACAGTTTACCCTTCTCCTTGTCCTGCTGGCTTATCTTTACGTCGGGCTGATCTGGTCCAAGCTCTTTAACATTAAGTTTTTCCACCATAGTTCTCCTCTCGAACGGATACTGGAGAAGAGACCGAACTGAATTCAGTGGCTGCTGAGATCCGGTTTCCATGCTGCTGGTTGTAGGCGCACTGGCGTCCATGTCTACGCTGCGTCATTACAGTCACGAGTCACGACCAAAAATGTGCTGGAGTCGAGACTCTCCGAGTTCTACCGAACACCAACGAATCCTTTGGCTGTAGCTCTATCGCCCATTATGCTTCTGAAACGTTCTGAAACAACGTCAACGCTGATTGGATACATTCCCATTCCTACACTTTAATTTTCTTGTCAGCAATTGGACAGCTGGACCCATCTTGTTTGGGCGATTGAAAAACAGCACACAGCCTCCACCGCTCGGCAGAGACCGGCAGAGATCGGCAGAGATCGGCAGAGACCGGCAGAGAGCAATATAGATATACATATATGCATGATTTATTTTTGTTACAAAACACACAATTAACTTAGAATATGTGATTATTGTTAATTTTATTTTATTTTTTAAATAAAAATTAAAAACGCTGTGGAAACTGGGAGGGCGGCGCCCTATCGCCCTCTACTGGCCAGCCGCCACTGAATTAAACACATGCCCATCAGGTCAGATCCTCAAGCTCGAAATGTCCTTCTCTTTCTTGGACAACAGACAGTTGTACTGGTGGTCTCCATGTGTGGCCTGTTAGAAGCAGTGTGACAGCAGCTTTAGGGATGAAAAGGTAAAGGTGATGCTGTTGGAATTCCCCTGTATCATGTTGTGACACCATGCTCTCTTTTATTCACTCTAACAGACAGTGAAAGTCCAGGGCAACGACATTTCACACAAACTGCAGATCTCTAGAGTCAGCAAGAATGACGAAGGCCTTTACGAGTGCCGGGTGACACGAGCTAACTATGGAGAGATAGTGGAGTACAAGGCCCAAGCCTGGCTGAAGGTCAACGCCACAGCCAGACCTCGACGCCCACTGCCCCCGCCCAAGAAGAGCTCCCCGCTGCACCTGACAGACAAAAAGCCAAGAAAGTCCAGCTCACCTGTGGGCCAGGACAACATGAGCTCAGACCAGAGGGCGGCCTCCACATCCACCTCTCACACGTCCTCCAATACAGCAAAACACAACCCCGGCTCAGGTAAGACCACAGGGAGGGCTTGCATGCTGGGGGCCTGGTTGTGTGGTGGAGATGATAAAGATGAATAGTATTTTTTACAGCATCCTTTTCTAAATCCTGAACCAACGCCTGACGTTTGCCTCCCTACTGCATCACCTGGTTTAAGCTCTAGCTCGCTAAACCCAGGCTACGGTGTCGTTGTGGGAAAAAAACGTTTGATCTTGAAGGATTGACAACCCAGCCCAGCTGGGTCGGATGTTTGCTGCTGCTTTACATCATTCACTCTTAGTTTGCTTTTTCACACACATGGATGAAGTGTCATAATCCGATGTTATCAACCTGCTAGCATCAAAGCTACTGGGATGCTACAGGTTCCTAATTCATCTGCATGTCCACGTTGGTATTGGGTTAGGGGTTGGGGTCAAAGTTTACAGTGAAGATTACTTCATTGCCTCCAGGCGATCTTGATCTTTGTTTACAGGCACTGACTGCTGTGTAATCACATCGTTTACCTTATTGCTGTGAATTAAAATATAGTTATTTTTGTCGACTAAACACAGTTATAATAGATAGCAGAATTGACCAGAATTCCTCCTGATCATGCTAGCAAAGCAGCTAGTTGTTTGGACTGAATTGCTCAGTGTGGCACCTCTCATGTGGTACCAACACAGGTTCCTCTAAGGCACATGTGTCAGACAAAAGGCCCGCCGAGCATTTTTATGTGGCCCATGAGATAAATATATAAAATATATTAAAACTGACCCACTGGCCGATTTTACCACAAAGACTACAACTCCCATGGTGCTTTGCGGCATTAGCGCGGAGCCGAAGCGCCCCCTCCTTTGTATTTTTTCCAGTGTCTGCTGCTGGTGTCTGCAGCTCCGCTGTCTCGGACAAACTAAACACTCCTCTCACTCAGCGCCGAGTTCACTCAGCTATTTGCTGATGTTGCAGCCCAGAAATGGAGAATTTAACCGCTCATTAATGTGTTCACGACTGAAAGAGAAAGTTTTCCAACTAACTTCCAGACAGCTGATATAACTCCAGCAAGCAGCGACACGCTGAAGTCAGCACGACTCTGTGGCTGCTGTAGTTTTTATTTTTCCTCCCCGACACACAACAACGTGGTCAAGCTGCTCAGAGATGTTCAGCAGCACAAACCTATGTGAGCACCTGTTGTCATCTAATGTTATCATTATTATGATGAAGATGAACAAAACAACAGGAGTCTCCTCCTCAGCTCAGATCAAACCCATGATGCAGGTATGGCTGGAACAGGTGAGCATCACAGTAAACCAGTGGAGCAAACTGAGCTTTAAATATTTTGGTTTTATGCTCTTTTTCTGCTCCAAAACATGAAAGTTAACAGGTGAGATGTTGCATTTTCATTTAAGATAAAATGATATTTTTATTTTGTTGTTGGCCCGTGAGAAAATATTTAACCTACAGTAAACAGGAAGTGGAAAGGCTGCAGATAGATGAATAGAATAGAAAATCCCTTTATTGTTCCTCAGTGTGGAAAGCTAGACGTCACAGCAGCGATGACACGTATTACAGGAGAAAAAAAGGAGAATAAAAAATAAGAAAAATGAATAAACAAGAAAACATAAATCCTGAATAGATTTTAAAAATGCTGATTATACCACAAGTAATGAATACCACTGATGCCTTTTATTTAAAACTGACTTGCTCATGTGTAATTTGGTTATTCCACATTCAGTGTTAATGCAGAAATATGTTTGTTTCCAAACTAAAAGGTTCAAAATTGCATATATGTTGATAAAGAAAATGTGCAAACTTGCTGTCACTTTTTCAAAAAATATTAAGTTTGGCCCGCAACTTCGTCCCAGAGTTTCATTTCGGCCCCGTGTGAGTTTTAGTTTGACACCCCTGCTCAAAGGTAACCCGTGTGTGTTTCCCAGTAAAAATGTTTTTACTGTTTCTCACAAATTAATTTTAGGAAAACCAGTTTCAGTTTGTTTTTTGGGGACTTTCATTACTGCGAGTGATAATAGTCTGATATGATAGCAAGTACTTTTGATGGGCACCATGTCACCTGACTCGGGGGGGGGGGGGGGGGTTGGGGGGGGTTAGAAGTCAGAGTCAGGACAGTTCAGGCCTTATGGTAACCACTAGGGATGAGCGAGTACACCACTATCTGTATCTGTATCTGTTCAACCAACTAAATGATCTTTATCTGTATCTGTACTCGGAATGGGCGTGGCATAAGCCGGAAGTGGATGTGGTTTACATCAATATATTATTTTAAGTCTGAAATTGATATGGAATGATCAGAAGTTGCTATGTGTATTGTTTATTTGAAAACTATTTACAGAGCAGCCTCAGAATTGAGATTAAATATTTTTATCATGATAGTAAAGAAACTATTACAGAACAAGTGTTTCAATAAAATCAGAACATTAATATTTAAGTGCATGGATTAATACATCTGAACTCACGCGTAGGAACTAGGAAATATCAAATGCTAGAACCAGACACAACTTTATGTATATTTTTTAATTTTAATTAGATTAAACAGATTTTTTTTCTTAACGTTCTTGGCATTTTGCCCCACACAAAGTTAAACAAAACAATGTTGATTAGGGAGAGAGATGGAGTTAAAAAAATAAAAAACCCGACCGGAGCGGAGGTAGTGAGTGACTGATGCAGCACGTCAGCTCTGTCTTGTCAAATGCACCACGTAAGTTACAGAAAAAGTAACTTTAAATATTCAACCGAAAATGAGGCGAGCTGAAGAAAACCTAGGGAAAACTGAAGAAACGTGAGCAACAGTGAAGCAATCACAGCGAGATCCGTTACTGTCTGTGTGTGTGCGTGGATGAGCCGGACGGACTGAGCTCCTGGCCGGCTGCAGTTTTGTGTGTAGGGAGGGGTGGGCGCTCTATGTGACTGGCCAATCACAGAGCGTGAAGACAGTCAGTTACCCAATGAGGATTTTCCTTCAGCACGATTACAGATATTTACGAGTTTTACTCGTTCCATGCTCGTACTCGTCAAAAATGCTTTATCCGTACCGGATACTCGTCTGAAACGAGTATCCGGCTCATCCCTAGTAACCACCATCCCCCACTACTAGTTCCTGGAATTGTTGCACCAGAGACAATTGCTATTACTCCCAATCAGAGAGCATGGTGTAAATGACGTAGATTATGTAAAAGGAAGCCCATCTCACATCATTAGAATCACACACAGCCTACTTTTTCTCCCCACGGGTTCAGAAAACAGTCCAACATCATTTCTGCAACTATCCACCTGTGCTGTAATTCTGCAGCTCCTACTCAGCTAAAAGTGCCAATCATCCCCGTGCAGACAGCTCAGACAGTCAGCTCTACTCGGGAGCATGATAGCTGTGTGCTCCCCGAAGCTAAACACAGGCAGATATTACTCTCTACTGAATGGAGGTAAAAAGTTGAATAATCCCCAGAGCTGCAGTCGGAGATTATGAGGCAGCCAAATTATGCTGACATCTGTGTTGCAGTGTGTCTTCTGTGTGGTGTGTCTGACAGAGATAAATGCCTCTCTGTGGCAGTTTGAGCAGCCTCAGCCACCTCCTCTGAGCAGCAGACAGGTGCTACAGCTGAGGGCGACAGAGTTCTGTTGGTGCCGTGGTCGGTTTGAAGCTGCTGAGCAACAGTAGGTGAACGGCCTGAGATGAAATTAAACCAGGGAGAGTGCAGATATTTCTTTTTCCGCATTGCTGCATCTGTAAACAATGAGGCCCTTTCCAGATGGTGTGTGTGTGTGTGTGTGTGTGTGTGTGTGTGTGTGTGTGTGTGTGTGTGTGTGTGTGTGTGTGTGTGCTGCAGCTGAGTGGCTGTTCACAGCTACTCCCCACCAGTATGTCAGCTTCTGTTAGATCTCAGCTCGGCCTCCATGGGTCCTGGCAGTGCTGCTCCCTCAAAGCTCAGAGGTGACCTGAACTGAATATGAAAAACAAAAACCCCTCCCCCCAGGCAGCATCTCTCCACCCTGGAGGCCAGCGTGGTCCCACGTGGAGGAAAAACAAATATGGGCTTAACTTGATTACATAAGCACTCATCCAAACAGAAAATATCTGTCCTTGTTTTAAAAGCTCCTTTTTAAAAATGGCTTCAGCTGCACGTCTCAAAAAGAGCACCAGTGAGTCACTCTCCCTGTAGGTGGGTACGGACAACTAAAAGGTTCTTCATGGCAGCATTAGTGTTGCTCACTGACTTTGACTGGTCCTCCTCCAGATGGATGTAACCTTCCCAGCGTCCTTAAAGTGGTGGAAAAGCAACACTGTTCAACATGTAGTCATTACCTAGCAGTTCAAGTTCAAGTTTATTTATATAGCACCAAATCACGACAAGAGTCGCCTCAAGGCACTTCACATAATAAACATTCCAATTCAGGTCAGTTCATTAAGCCAATCAGAAATAATGTTTCCTTTATGAGGAATCCAGCAAATTACATCAAGTCACTGACTAGTGTCAGTGACTATACAGCAATCCTCATACTAAGCAAGCATAAGTGACAGTGGAAAGGAAAACTCCCTTTTAACAGGAAGAAACCTCCAGAGAATCCTGGCTCTGTAAAAGCAGCCATCCTCCACGACTCACTGGGGATCGAGAAGACAGAGCAGACGCACGCACACACACACACACACACACACACACACACACACACACGCACGCACGCACGCACGCACGCACGCACACACACACACACACACACACACACACACACACACGCACACAAAGACAAGTAATGTGTCTATAGTTATATTGTGATGTCTTAGTAAATATTCTATTTGGTGAGAGATAAACTTTATTGTATTTATCCTAGTGGATCTATAATTAAACGGATAAACTAACAGTAGCACATCAAAAGTCAATGAAAACAAAAAGTTATTATCAGGAGTGGGAGAATGTTTAAGTGGTTAGCAGCAGTGTGTTAGACAATGGCCCCCTCCATGAGGCCACCACAGCTCAGCAGAACATCATTGTAGCTTCTTCTGGGGAGAAAAACACTTAAAGAGA